GGTATACAGTCTATATCATTACCTATGTATTTACATCTATTTGCAGTATAATCGTTATTTACAATGCGCTGTATTCTGCAGGTTTACCCTGTATAGTTTAGCTTCGGTAGGAATAGGCCTATAGTCATCAGATTAATAAATGATCATACTTTACAACAGCTGCTCTATAATAGACACTGAGCATGCATTTATATACATTGTGCGCCCCCCCCCCCCCCCCCCAGCACCATCAATACCTCAGGGGAGCAGTAGCACCTGGTTAAATAGTATATCAAATGTGGTGGTTTGACTCCCCTCCCCAAATGTACAGGGAAAGTTGCATAATACCAAGACATGCGATTACTACCTAATTTAGCTGGATAATGTGACAATTCTTTTTAGCTGATAATTTATATGACATTGATAGCTCTGAAAGTTATGATAACTGATAACACTATGCATTAATAGCTCTCATAACTCCTCAGGTTGGAACCTCTTGAAACTCTTTGAAACTATAGACTATTTTGTACTGGCTTGTGATTAGAGTCAGATATGTGATCTTGTAGAGTTTTTTGCAGATCTGCACACCCTCCTCCTTTAACCTCTTCGTGCCTAAGAGGTAAAACAAATGTTAATGCCTAAGCACATGCTTGCAATTTTGACATGTGTTCGTAAAAAACGTACATACCACCACAACTACTTTGTGCATCTAGGTGGATTATATCTTGTTTTTTTCAGGACAAATTGGGCTTTCATTCAGTGGCAAATGGTAATGATATCTCTTGATTTTTTTTTTATTATAAAAAGGAAAACCGGACCAAAATAGTAAAATAAAATGTGGCTTTTATATTTAGCTGTATATTTCTTGCTACTACTATAACCTCCCACCAAAGAAAAACCAAAAATTAATTCTCCTGCTCTCCTGACGATCACACTGATACCACATATGTGTATGGTTGTTTGTACCAGTAGTACAGCCCAGAAACAATCATGCACATTTTGCTTTTTTTTTTTATTTCTACCTAGAATACACTGACACTAATACTAATTTACCATTTTTTTAAAAATCTTGCCCAAAAAAGACAGATATGCAAATATGCAGCCTCACAGAAAAAAGCCCAGTCTAGTGGGGCAGCATACTTGCGTACCTTCAGCTGGAAGGGGTTAAACAATTGTTACAACTTGTACTGTCTAACTAATCACAATTATGTGTTTCAATCAATGTCACTGTCATGATTAGTAATGAGTGATGTTTTCTTAAGCCTAGATTCCATTGATTTTCAGTGACTGGCTAAATTTATTGCTATGGGGTACAAGGGGGTCCTTGAGTGAACAGAAACTATTATTACCTAATGGCAGACGGTATGAGAATTTTCTGTTTAATATGACATCTTTACCCTAATATTGAAGTTCATACTTCTTTTTTAGATCTGGTTTACATCTGACTCTTTATTTGCTAAGGATTAAAGGCTTTGTGTATAGCTAGCTTCACTCTGTGATATACAAATACCTTCTGTGGCTACTTTTCTCACAAGTACATAAATCATTTTAATAGGTGTAGTGCAGACCCAAGACTGGTCTGGCTGTTTGGTCTCAGGTTCAATTCCTTGATAGGCACACAGCAGCCAGGCACTTGGTATTTCCCAATCACTCGAGTCAGAAAACAGGCTGCGTGTGTCTTTTTTGTGTGTTTTTTTATTTTGCTAGAGAACTGGGATAGAGTGAGGGTGAGTCTAGGGATACTCCAATAAACTTCGAACGGGTAGTAGAGGATACTAATGCTGAACTAACACTTCCGGGTGAAAGTACCCCTTTTGAAGTTTTAGACAAAGTGACACTAAACAGGGATTCTTCAACAGGAATACAGTCCTGAGTGTGCTCAGTAACAAAGTGAAACTTCAGGGTGAAGGCATCCCTTTGTGAAGTGTAGTCAAGGTGGTACTAAACAGGAATTGCTCAACAGGAATACAGTCCTGAGGGTAAATCTCGAAAAAAGGCCAAAGTCAGCCTTTAAGTCCAGAAGGCCGGTACTTACCGCATCCTGAATACTGTTTACCAGCATGCAGTATCAGTGAGCTTCTGTGGATGCTTAGGAAGCTTCTGCAAATGCTACAGGAGACCAGAACAGAGGTCCCCCAACCAAACAGTAGCCGGGATCCCATAAAAGACTCTTGTAGCTTCAGGTGGATCTCCCAGGAATGCCAAAGCTTGGGTCAAGCTCCCCCAGGAACAGTAGCCCCTCTGCTCTGGGTTCCAGCCTATTTATACCCCTGTTACTCTTTGTATTGACCAGGGAATGGCTGAAGAGGCAGTAATATGCAGGCTGGAGTCTGTGCTCTTGCACCCACTATGTCCTAGGGTCCCCTGGAAGACAGGGGGAAGAAGCCAAGCCCACAGTAGCAGAGCCCAGAGCAAACCTTACCTAACAATTGCTGCTCTACCTAATTACAGGGAGGCCAAAAAACTACACTTGCCTTTAACCCCCTTCCTTACCAATCAGCTTTAGCGCTGCCGCACTTTGATTGACAATGGGGGCAAACATTGTACCCATATGAAATTTTGATCATTTTTTTCTCACAAATAGAGCTTTCTTTTGGTGGTATAATCGCCACTGGGCCTTTACTTTTTGCGCTATAAATTAAAAAAAGTGCAAAAAATTTAAAAAAAAAAAAAAAGTTTATTTGTTTCTTTTATAAAAATTTTTTCAAACAGGTATTTTTTCTCCTTCACTGATTTGCGTTGATGAGGCGGCACTGATGGGCACTGATAGGCGGCGGCACTGATGGGTGATAGGCGGCACTGATGGGCACTGATAAATAAAGGGCACTGATAGGCAGTACTAATGAGGTGGCACGGATAGGCGGCACTGATAGACAGCACTAATTAGGGGTCACGGATAGGCGGCACTGATATGCAGCACTGATAGGCGGCACTGATAGGTGACACTGATGATGGGTACTGATAGACGGCACTGACTCGCATCAACTGACTGGCGGCACTTGACTAACCCCTGGGCACTGACTGGCAGCACTGGTGGGTGGCACTGGTGGGTGGCACTGGTGGACAGCACTGGTGGGTGGGCACAACTGGTGGGCACAGGTGGGTGGCATGGTGGGCACAGGTGGGTGGGGCACAGGTGGGTGGCACTGCTGGGCACATGTATGTGGCACTGCTGGGCACAGGTAGGTGGCACTGCAGAGTGGCACAGGTGGGGGCACTGCTGGGCACAGGTGGGGGCACTGCTGGGCACAGGTGGGGGCACTGCTGGGAATGGGGTGGGCGGGGCTAGTGGGCGCACAGCTGATCGGAACTTGCGGGGGTCACTGCTGGGCACCGATCATCAGGGCACTGATCATCAGTGCCCTGATGATCGGTGCCGATCCCCGCTCTGACAACTGCCGGTTCTCGGCAGTACTTTCCTCACGATCTGACAGCGTGAGGAAAGTGCAGCCGAGAACCGGCACTTGCATTTTCCTGTGATCAGCGTGTCATTGGACACCGCTGATCACGTGGTAAAAGGCCGGTGGGATCGGCCTTTCACCACATCTCGTGATCAGCTGTGTCCGTAGGACACAGCGATCACGGAGATCGCCGCCGGGTGCGCGCCCCCTGGGCGCGCGCAGGAAAGCGCGTTCTGGGAGGACGTCATATGACGTCCACTCAGAACTGGCCGGCCGCGGTGAAGCCGTCATTCGGCTATGCGCGGTCGGCAAGTGGTTAAACAATAGTAGTATAATGGGGCATTGCATAGGTCATTAATATTTCCATTATTTTCAAACAATAAAAGTTTACTGTACATAGGCTTAGTGTACTTTAAATAAGTTAATAATGTCATTCAGACATTAGGCAGACCAAATAATGATTAGCATGTGTATGGTAAAAAGCTAATTATCCTGTCTGCTGAAAATACCTTTAAACTTGTGGAATGGAAAACCTTGATGACAGACGTTTTAACCCACATATGCAGGAAATCATGGCTACAGATAATATAATGATTGTCTTTCTGTGCTTTTTATCTTAAACAGCTTTCATCCCAGACTTCCAACTAGAAAACGACTGCAGTGCTACCTCCTAACTATATTATAGTACTGATTGGCTTCCTGCTTTGAATGTCACAGAGCCCGCCCTGGGAGAACTCTCTGCTTGTTTTCTATGTTCATAGATTGAAAGTGCGATCTATTATTTACAAGCTTATGTCAGTATAATATGGAAGATTGCAAATGACAACGTAGTTAATTGTTGTTTTTTTCCTATGTAGTTACCACTGTATATTCATAAAGCTGTCCTCTAAGTATCCCGCAGCTATGGTGAGAAACATGTTGACCTGAGGAAGCACTGTTTCACACACAGAATAGTTTGATGTAGTTATGGATATATAGGAGAATATGTGTATTAAAGAATATGTATCCCAGACTGAAATATGGTTTACGCTGAGGTCACAGAGGCAATTCTGCTAGCGGCACACATCACTAGCTGCAGAATCACTGAGGAGAGAGCTCTACTTACTGGAATTGTTCCTAGCTGGTCCAGCTAGTGAGGGAGTAACTTTGTTGAAACAGGTAAGTGGTCTGTTAGGTTTGCTTTCCCTGATCAGTTTTTGCCAGTAACAGGATCACTGTTATGGCCAAAAGAGAGCGACAAGGGTCAAACGAGAGGATCAGCAACAGTTCCAGAAGACTTAAATGGGCATAGAACAGAACGGAGAACAGGCCAAGGGTCAAACAAGGATGTCAGTTAAGCAAGAGTATCCAAACCAAATCAAAAAACAGAGAACTGGAAAACAGGCCAGGTCATGATACGCAGTTGAAAACTGTAGTTGGACATGTGCTGAGAAAGGGGAGCTTTTGTCTTTTAGGTGTCCATGGAGATAAGCATCTTGGGATCCGGCCGAATCAGATGACCATCTCATGTTCGTGTCCAGCAGCCCCCACTGTCTGGCCCACAGGGAATATGATTGGGTGGACAGAGAGTTGTTTTGTGGTGCAACCAATAAAAAAATTAAGTGGTTTATATACTAACTTTGGGGATGGAGAAGGAGAAGAGCCACATAACTGTGACCATATTAGACCTCACCCTGGAGATCATCTACCTGCTGACTGGAGAGGACTACACAGTCGTTAAAAAATTATCTAGTGGTCATTTGACACCCAATAAGCACACCTGTATGTCCAACCATCTCAACAGGACCTAAAACCTCATCATGGACCCTGCACTTGTCTTCCCAACACTTGAAAGCAATGACAAGAAGATTCTAGAAATCATCCAGAAGATCATTGAGCTGCTGACGGGAGAGGTTCCTATAAGGTGTCAGGATGTCACTATCTATTTCTCTATGGAGGAGTGGGAGTATATAGAAGGACACAATGATCTCTACAAGGATGCCATGATGGAGAACAGGCCACCCCTCACATCACCAGATGGATTCAGTAATGGGAACCCACCAGAGAGATGTCCCCATCTTCTGTATTCCTGGGTCTCTACACAGGAATAACAGGAGATCCATCAGGAGGATGCCCTGATTGTTATTAAAGTTGAAGCTGTTGATGAAGACAACTCAACAGTGACTCACGGAGATGTTAACAATGAAGAAGATGAAGACAGACCCATGAAGGTTGAAGAGGAGGAAATTCCTATGGAGATCAGCACAGATGGACAATATCGAAAGTGTGACACCCATAAAGGCCCCATCATGTCTGCAGACAGTGGAAGAGAAGTTGATGACATCACACAACCTGGAGAAAATTGCATAACCTCAGATTTCCATCCATTATTACACAGCGCAAATGTGTCTTCTGACTCATCAACCTATGTTTCCTGAACACCCATCTCCGGTCATCCATCATACACCGCATAGAGTCCTGTACATGGTGGGGAAGCCATATTCATGTCTGGAATGCAGGAAGAGCTTTGAACAGGAATCCTATCTTGTCCTCCACCAGAAAGGCGATATTAATGACCTCAAGCCCTATTCTTGTTTGAATAGTAAATAGGTAGGCGCTGTACATAAAATGAACAAGAGTTCACCCAAGTGAACCCTATATAATTGCTGGATATTGGTTATCTGTGGATGGACAACCCGTTGGTAAACTATTCATCAAACAATATAATCAATAACCATATGATCCTATTGCCATAAAAAGTCCTTGTGCTTCTACCATGTGCTGAATAAACATAAAGTGTAACAGTCCTTTTTGAAAACTCAGTAATGGTGACAAGAAGATCCATGTATCCACACCTTGGTGCAAAGACAAATGAATGGCTCACTCACCAGACCTATATGACTCCATTCCTGTGGTCATAGAATGCATATATCGCATTGTGTTTTATATGCCAAGATATTCTCTAAGGATTCTTCCAAACATGGTCTCCATCACCCACACTTCATAGTTGTATAGCCAGGAAGACTGATGTGAAATTGCCAATATATTCACCAAAATATGTATGAAGGGATTATGACAGGTAATCCTTGCTCATTATGCCATACCACTCAAAGGAATTAGAGAAATGAAAACCTTTCTAAGTATAGTATTTAATGAGGCAACAGTAAAATTATAAACAAACTCTGTACACTCACATATTAAAGTGCCTATGAAACTGGCACCAGCATGCATTGCCTGTATGATCAATTAACCTCCTTGGCGGTATGATTCTTTCCGATTTTTTGTGCTGAAAGCGGTACCATTTTTTTGCATGGAAATATGTAGTTTTTTATTGTAGGCTGTAATTTTTAGGAATAACTCACTGAAATCTGTACGAACAAGAGTCTATTAAACATCCCGGGTAGGATAAAATTTGAAACACGAAATCATAAATTATAATTTGATAAATAATCATAAAAAATAATAATATAATATTAATAAATTTAATTCAATAATATAATCAAACCAAAAACACTGAAATTTGAAATACAGAGGCAAATTCGCACATCGCTGAGCAAACTTGCAAAATCGTTTTCAGTGTCTGATGACGAATTTCCCCACGAATCATTATCACTCAATTCTGCAAGTGGTTCTGATTTACTATCGCTGTTCTAAAACCGGTTTTGACGTAAAGGGACGCTTTTTGGACGCCATGGACTTTTCTAAGTTTCCAGGCAGAAAGAACATTCAAAATGCAGGCAGGGCACAGGACAAAGCAGTAAGGACAAAATATATGTGAAATGCATTGAAACAGCAATGACAGCAAAAATGAAATTTTTTAAAAATTCAAATTTCCCGCCGTACGTCCCGACGTCACAGGGACCGGAACACAGAAGCTGGATGCCGGCATCGGCCGGAGGAGATGGCCAGGGACGCTGCAGGGGACACATCGCGGGAGCGAAGGACATGGTAAGTGCTGCAGGAATCCCCAGAGCAAACGCCGCATGGTAAGCCCGAGTGTAGCTCGGGGTTACCGCTCTTGGTATAGAAATTTTACCCCGAGCTACACTCGGGAATACCGCTAAGGAGGTTAAGATGGTCCACGTGCACTCCAAGCCAGCCGGATGTGAAGACGCCGCCAGGCAAAACGTACGTCGAACAAACGTGATTCTGTCATATCCGGCCGGAACAGAAGCAAAGCTTGGATAGCACGTCGGACATCTTAATTAAGTCATCCTTGTGGAGCATCAAAGGACTCACACAGGAGAGAAGCCGTTTTCGTGTGCAGAGAGCTGGAAGAGCTTTACATAGAGGAAAGCCTTTGTCAGTCACCAGAAGGTGCATATACAAGAGAAGCCTGAACTTTCTCAGCATGGAAGTCCAGTGGTATAGGGACAAGAGCTGGTCTGGTGACATTGAGCAGGTACTGTACTTGTCTTGACTATCTTTACTTTAAAGCTGAACTCTGGAAAACTAAAAAGTCCTCCCTTGCCTAAATGAGCTCAGCCCCTCTGCAAGACAGGACTTTTTTTTTTAATTTTGTGGAGTTCAGTTTTACTATTTTTTTTTCTAGGCGGTATTTTTCACTGGATTGTCACCACCTCTTACCTCCATGTCTTATACACAATAATGTTCACACTAGCCTTGTGTGCAGGCGGCAGAGAGGCTGGGAAGCACCGCTTCCCAAACGCCTCTGCAATTCTGCAGGACTTTTTTTTTCGCGGCAAAAATGCCTTTGTCAGGAGTTCAGTCTATTTACAAACGCCCCCGGCCGGCGTTTTTTTTCTAGGCGGAAACACCACTCAAACTGCATTATAGGCGTTTGTGGGGCGTTATTAACGCTCGGCAAACGCCTAGCAACCGCCGCTTTGCGGCGTTTGCGGACTTTGCCGAGCGTTAAAACCGCTCCACAAAACACCGGACCAACGCTTGCCAAACGCTATAGGGGCGTTTGGCAAGCGTTGGCAAAAAGCCTAGTGTGACCTACTAGTGACCTACTTGGCATTCTATAAAATAGCTGTCTGTGGCTATGACTAATGTTTCCTTTTTTGTTTCGCTCTTCCCTAATTATTGTGGCACTCATCCACAATCAACAGGGATGATCAACATGGAAACAAATCTGTATTAAATTACTTAGTAATAGCATCATGTTACAGAGGTGCAAATGAAATGTAGTAGTAAAGATTTAATTTAGGAGAATAATTTTAAATCACACTATTTATTTGTTAAATGAAAACCACAAAGATGTGCCAGGCAGGGACTAGCATACTTGAGCAAGCCATTTTATACATTTTTCAATGTACTGCAATATTTGAAAATAAGCCAAAAGATCAAGGAGTAATGTCCTCCACCCTCTCTGCCAGCTATGTTTACATGAGGTTTGTGCAGTTTCAGTTACATAGAAATGAGAGAGTCTGAGAGACAACAGCTCCTGCTATGCTTTCTCTTTAATAATTCATAGGGGGACATTTATCAAGAAAATTAGTAACACTGTTAGTCCTCATGCACACTGGACATTTTTACAGCTGCTGTTTTTGGATTTTGATGTTTTTTTTCTACAGCCAGTAAACCCCCCAGCATGTTATCCTATGTGTCCATGCACACTTAGACTGTATTCAACGTTTTTTTTTGGCTAGGAAAAAAACCCAGGACTAGTGGGTTTTTAGAGGAGTTTTTTAGCTGTAAAAACGCTCTAATGCTGAAAAATGTTGCAAAACTTGGTAAAACGCTGTAAACTGGCGTTTTTGGACTTTTTTTTCAGAAAAAAAAATTGGGGGGTAAAAAAAACCCTCAAAAACGCAAACGCGATAAAATGCCGCTAATCGCAGCAAAACGCCACTAAACGCTAATGCAAAAATGCTAAAAAAAAGCTGATAAACACACAAACTGTGATAAACTCACTGTGAAATACATAGCTAACATTACCAGCATTATCAAAACGTCCAGCGTGCATGAGGACTTAGATGCAACATAAGCTAGAAAATTGTTGGCTGAACAGAGGCTACATTCAATCAGATGCTGTTCCTGTACTTTGACAACCAGCAGGGTTGGCTGTGAAAATACTATAGTCATGGAGAGAGATACGCCAATCCACGTTGTGTAGCCTAGGTGGAGGAATCAGCTAGATTTTTAACATCTAAAATTTATAGAAATGTAAAAACATGTAAATGTATTCGTGCATGGCCAGCCCATGTCTGCCTCTCACTTAGCAAAGTCTATGTGGCAGTTTAAGGCCTTGTTTACACTTGGACATAAGCAGTGGCAGACGTGTACACATGGCATGGCCGTGATGCTTTTCATCGCAGCATGTCAAATTTTATCCTCCCGCATGCTGTTGCAGTGCAGTTGTGTAGGTTTTTAGAGGTTAAAACAGATGGTGAGGAGACAACATAACACCTCCTCACTGCCTGTCAAATGCCCTCTGAACAGCGTTCCATCATATCGCTCTTCAGAGGACAACACCAATGTAAAAGAGCCCTAACTGTGTTCTTGCCACACCTATGCCTATAATTCTGGGCAGTCAGCTGTAACAACTGCCAAAGTTCTGTGACACATTTTAGAAAACTGTCTGTCTATCTATATTTACACCAGCTCTGCCCCCCCTAACCCCTTTTACTAGTATTTAGGACAGCATAAGAGGTGGGTTCCCATGGAGGACATAAGGAGATGCAAGGAAAGGAAAATTAAGGTAAGTTTTGCTAAACAGTTTTCCAAATTCCTGGAGTCAGCTGATAATGGGACAAAACCAACAATATTAAAAACATAAGGGTCGATAAATAAAGTCACCAATACATATGAAAGTGGCAGAATTCTCAGACGGCCAAGACGTGTTCATTCAAAACATCGTGTTCAGACAGCCATTTTTTCATACAAAATGAACATGTTTTGAATAGCCTTACAAACTGTCTCAGCTGACATCTTTGCCGCATCTGGCGCAAGGCCAGCCTGATTGTCCAATAGATTAGGAAAGGATTCTCAGGAAAGCCAACATTCCTTTCTTAGGACCCAGGCAGAAGACAAAATGGTTGTCTTTTTTTCAAAAGGTCTCATTTCTTTGTAGGTAGGCAGATAATATTGT